TAATAATAATAATAATAATAATAATAATAATAATAATAATAATAATAATAATAATAATAATAATAATAATAATAATAATAATAATAATAATAATAATAATAATAATAATAATAATAATAATAATAATAATAATAATAATAATAATAATAATAATAATAATAATAATAATAACAACAACAACAACGACTTATTAAATAGCATAGGGTGTGGTTCGTATAGAGTTGAGGCTCTAAACAATCAAAGTAAAGCCTACCTTTAAATAGCATCAAGAAATATGGTATCAATATTGAAAATCTTTGTGATGTAGCCTTAAAATATATTTTTATATTTAATTACAAAATTTAAAGCTTCAAACGTAATGTAGATCGAGTAGATCTATAAAAAATTAAAAATCTTGAAAATTGACCGTCCAAAAATGTATTACAAGATGTACTATTTCCAAAACTTGAAATCCATTTTTTTCTCATGTCCATGCATCTAGATGTCAAGATCATCAATTTGAGGATAATTGGGCATCAAAACATCCGGATCTAGTGAAATTTTTTAGGTGAGCTCTAATTTGATTGTTTAGAGCCTCACCTCAATACAAACATTTTCCAATACGGTAAAGGCCGGATTACAAGGAAATAGAAAAGTCTTAGTCTGAGACTGTTGTTGTAGGTTGAACTGGAATTTGTCTCCTGCCCATCAAAATGGCTTAATCTATTTACATTTTGAAAATTTTCAGCCTCAAGTAAGAGAACAAAAAGACGTTGGGAATTTCATTCTAAGCTTGAATCGCTTCTGAATTCGTTTCCCTCTCTACTGAGTAGTGAGTACTACTAACCAACGAAACTATTGCTGCTTCATAAGCATTCAACGAATTTCGTGAGTATTTTTCCGGAACTCAGTCAGAAAATCTCTCTCTCTCCTTGCTCGGTTCCATTTCCATTAGTTTATGAGACTTGCATTGCAAAGATGCAGCACATTGACAAACATAAAGCAAATCCAAGCCCATCTCTACAGAACCCATCTCCATAAAGAGAGCTATTACCTCCACTTTCTCTTGAAATCATGTTCAGAATTAGGCCAAATCGACTACGGTCGATCAATTTTTGACCAAACTCCAAAACCCGACATTTTTCTCTGGAATTCAATGATCAGAGGCTATGTCTGCCACAATTTCAATAATGAAGCCCTTGAATTGTACATTCTCATGCAAATTTCGGGCATAACACCCAACAAATTCACGTTCCCTTTTGCTCTCAAGGCTTGTGGAACCGTTTCAGTACTTAGATTAGGCGTAAGGATCCATACCCATATAATCAAACTTGGCTTTGAATGTGATGTCTACGTTCAAACTAGCTTGCTGAGCATGTATGCCAAATTGGGTTTTGTTGATTTAGCAAGAAAAGTGTTCGATGAGATGCCTGAAAGAAATGTGGTTTCTTGGACTGCCATCATTGGTTGTTACGAGAGGCATGGGCGGTTTCAAGAAGCAATTGATTCCTTTCGAGCCTTAGTAGATGCAGGGTTAAGGCCTGATAGCTTCACCCTAGTGCGTGCACTCTGTGCATGTTCACGATTAGGTGATGCTAAGGCTGGTGAGTGGGTTCATCGATGTATCAATGAGACCAGTATGGGGACTAATGTTTATGTAAATACATCACTAGTTGACATGTATGTTAAGTGTGGGTGCATGGAAAAGGCACGAAAGGTCTTTGATGAGATGCCCGAGCGCGATATTGTTTCGTGGAGTGCAATTATAGGGGGTTATGCACAAGATGGGCAACCTACTGAGGCTTTGAAGATTTATTTTGAAATGGAGGAAGCAAATTTGAAACCAGATTGCTTCACTATGGTGGGGGTGCTATCTGCTTGTGCTAGACTAGGGGCTCTGACATTAGGGGAGCGAGTAAAAGCTAGGATTGATTGGAAAGAATTTACAGCGAACCCAGTTCTTGCGACTTCTTTGATCGATATGTATGCTAAGTGTGGTAGGATGGCTCAAGCTTGGCTTGTATTTACTGAGATGGAGGAACTAGATGTTATTGTATGGAATGCGGTGATATCAGGGTTAGCAATGCATGGTCATGGAAAACAAGTGCTAGGTCTATTCGGTCAAATGGAGAAGACAGTTATAAGGCCAGATAGTAACACCTTTGTCGCCCTCTTGTGCGCGTGCACCCATTGTGGCCTAGTAGATGAAGGCCTCAAGTTTTTTTATAGTATTAGTCAAGTTTATGGTCTTACCCCTAAGATAGAGCACTATGGATGTATAGTGGATCTTCTTGGTAGAGCTGGGCTCTTGAAAGAAGCCTACGATTTGATTCAAAACATGCCTATTGAGGCCAATGCAGTTGTTTGGGGTGCTCTCTTAGGTGGTTGTAGAATTTACGAGGACACCCAATTGGCCGAGCTCGTGCTTAAGAGGCTAATAGAGCTAGAGCCGCAAAATTCAGGTAATTATGTGCTCTTATCAAATATTTATGCTTCGAATAAAAAATGGAATGATTCGGCAAAATTGAGGTTAGTTATGAGAGATAAGGGAATAACGAAGACTCCAGGGTGTAGTTGGATTGAGGTAGAAAATGTTGTCCATGAGTTCTTGGTGGGAGATAAATCACACATAAAGGGTAATGAGATTTATTTGAAGCTTGATGAATTGCATAAGGAAATGAAAGAGGCAGGATATGTTCCAAAGACTGGAGTAGTTTTGTTTGACATAGAAGAGGAAGAGAAGGAGCATTGCCTTGGCCACCATAGTGAAAAGTTAGCAATTGCATTTGGGCTTATAAGTAGTGAGGAAGGTGTAATTCGTGTGGTGAAAAACCTTAGGGTATGTACGGACTGCCACAATGCCATAAAGCTGATTTCAAAGATCACTGGAAGGGAGATAGTTGTTAGAGATAACAATAGGTTCCATTGTTTTAAGGAGGGAATTTGTTCTTGTAATGACTATTGGTGAAAAAGCTGAATTCTGCACATTTTTGCAGAAGCCAGAGAGAGATCCCTACCGTTTCGTTGCTTTCAAGGTGAGTTATGCACCTCTTTGTGAAAGCTGGAGAGAGAGATTCATACCTAGTGGCATTTTGTTGTAAAAATTGAAAGCGTATTCTCTCTCCCCTATACCTATAGGGAAAGGTTTCTATGCTTCGATATATATTTCCCCAATATTCAGCCATCTAATTTAGATTAAGTGAGCTACTAACCGTTTGATTTAGATCCGACGCATTAGAGTATTTTATTTCTAGTTTTGTCTACAAATTGTATGAATATAAATGTTGGTATGTGCTATCATCTCAATCGGATGCACCTAAAAAAATATTAAAAAGAATTTGTCGATAAGAATGATCAAAATACCGCTTGAAACTTTCAAAAATATTTTGATTATTTTATTTTATTGAAATTATTTTTTTATATTTTTTACAAGTGCAAGTTTAAGAGAGGAGTGGAAGCCCAAAATTTAGTGTCAAAATATTTTGTAGAAAAAATAAAAAATAAATAGTGTAGAGACGTGACATTGTGATTAGAGCGATCTCAGCCGTCCATTCAAAATGGAAAATTGCATAGGGGAAAATATGTATGTTTTATGCATAAAAGGAAGCATAGAAAGCTTGCCCCTATCTATATAGGATAAGGTGAAGTTAAAATTTCCTATTCTAAAATTTTTTTACAACAAAGTGTCCTTCAAAATATAAAAATCATATTAACAATAACTTATTTGAAAATTTCTAGAATGGCATATTAGTAATTTAAAAAATTACTTATCATTTAAAGGTCAAAGGAATCTTTTTAAATTTGAGTTTTAGAGGGATTTTAAAAAAATAAAGACATTCTTCTTAAAATACATGAACTCTTTATAGTCAAAAGTGATTTTTGAATATATAAGGGTATTTTATGGTCAAAAGGACTCTAGATTCTAAGTTCACTATTAGTATATGGTATTCTAATATATTTTAAATTCACCATTAGTGTAGTATATATATATATATATATGGTGTGGTTTGTATAGAACCTAGGCTCTAAACAATCAAATTAGAGCCTACCTTCAAATAGTATCTAAAAATGTGATTTCAATATTGGAAATCTTTTTGATAGCTTTAAATTATATTTTCATCTTTATTTATAAAGTTTAAAGCTTTAAAAATAGTGTAGATAGAGAGATCTATGAAAACTTGAAAATCTTGAAAATTGACGGTCAAAAAATGTGTTACAAAATACACTATTTTCAAACTTGAAATCCTTTTTTTTCTCATGTCCATACATCTTGATGTGGAGATGATCAATTT